ATAAGGAGATTGGGGAGGTAAGATGTGCTAAAAAATTAAGGAATGGATGCTTATTGGTGTCATGTAAAGATGAGGCTCAACAAAAGAAAGCAATCAAAGTAAATAAAATAAATGGTAAAAAAGTGAAATGCTCTGAGGTCTATGACAGAAAACTTATAAGAGGAGTAATCACAGGCATACCGGTAAGTGAGTCATTAAACAACGTGATTGAAGGAATAACGAATGCTAAAATAAAAGAAGCTAAACGCTTAAAAACAAGATGGAACGGAGCCATATGTGACAGTCTTTCAATAATGCTGACATTTGATGAAACAAAACTACCTGACAAAGTCTTCATAGGATACATGAGCTATGAAGTGAAAATGTACATACCACCGCCTGTTAGGTGTTACAAATGCCAAAAATATGGTCATATTGCAGCGATCTGTAAAGGGAAAATGAGATGTAGCAAATGTAGTGGAGAACATGAGTATGGACAATGTGATAAGGAAGCAAAACTCAAATGTTGCAACTGTGGTGGAGAACATAGTTCAGCATACAGAGGGTGTGAGGTAAATAAAAGAATGCAAGAGATACAGAGAATAAAAGTCACTCAAGGTATATCTTATGCAGAAGCAACAAAGAAAGTTAGGCCTACAAGGGAACAGATGGGTCAGATGCCGACAATGAGAGAAGAAAGGAAAGACATATTTAAGTGTAAAAAATGTGATAAAATAAAGGAAGAAACACTGATTGTGGATAAAAATGAATTTGTTCTCTTTATGGCAGAGGTGATAAATTGCTCAGCACAGACAACAAGTCGGACGGAAAGGATTAAAATAATAGTTAAAGCCGCGGAAAAATACATGGGTATTAAAGGAATCCCTTGGGAATCAGTGAGAAACACGTTAAATGAAGAAGTTCAGCAACAACAGTCACAAGCATGGGGTGGAGTTGCATAATGGTAATATTTATACTGCAGTGGAATGCGAGGAGTTTAATATCTAATGGTCAGGAATTTAAGAAATATATAGATGATTTAAATGAAAAACCTGATATAGTGTGTGTACAAGAATCATGGTTAATATCAAGACTAGAATTTAATATTAAAGGCTATAATGCAGTAAGAATGGATAGGAAAATAGGTAAAGGTGGGGGAATTATTACATTTATAAAAAAAGGTATCCAATATAGAGAAGTAAAGAGAGGGAATGAACTAGAATATGTTATTGTGGAGGTATGGTCAAGTGAAGGTAATATTAAAATAATAAATTTTTATAACCCATGTAGATTGTTAGAGAGGGAACAGTTAGAAGAGATATGGGAGGGTATTAATGGAAAAACTATCTGGTGTGGAGATTTTAATGCACACAGTACATTATGGGGTAACAGAAATGATAATAATGGGAGAGTAATTGAAGAATTTATTGAAGAAGAAGAGCTAGTGTGCATTAATGACGGGACAGGAACTAGATTGAATACAGCAAGAGGCACAGAATCAGCAATAGATATTACAATAGTTACAAAAGATATTGCAGATAGGTGTGAATGGGAGGTATTAAGAGGTAACACAGTTGGAAGTGACCATTACCCAATCAAAACTCAAGTAGGAATAGAATGCGCAAAAGAAATTGAAGTGAGAGAGGAGAAATGGATTTTAGAAAGAGCAGATTGGGATAAATTTAGGGAAATCAGTGAAGATTTGTTGCAAAAGATTGAGGATAACTTAGATGTTGAAAATATGTGTAAAAGAATTAGTGGGGGAATAATTGAGGCAGCAAAAATGGCAATACCTAAATCAAAACCTAAAATAATTAATAAAATTGTTCCATGGTGGACAAAGGAGTGTAGAAAAGCTATAAAGGAGAGAAACAAAGCTTTTAAAAAAATGAAAACGACACACAACTTTCAAAATCTCATGAAATACAAACAAGCACAGGCAATAGTTAGGAAAACGGTTAAAAAATCAAAAAAAGAATATTGGAGACAATTTTGTGAGTCAATTGGTAGAACAACGCCAGTAGAGAGAGTATGGGGAATGATCAAAAAAATGAAAGGAAATGGAAAAGAATATGGATATCCAATGCTGATGGATGGGCAGAGGGTTATTATTAATAATAAAGAGAAAGCAGAAATTATAGCAAGAACATTAATTAAAGTACACAGCACAGACAATTTAAGCCAAGAGGAAAAAAGAGGGAGGGTGGAGACTTATGAAAGATATCAGTTTGATTTAGGGAAAGATGACGGGGATCAGGTACTAAATATAAATTTCTCAGGGACTGAGCTGAGTAGGGCATTAAAGAAATTAGGGAAAACGGCTCCAGGGAGAGATGGAATTTGTTATACTATGTTAGAAAACCTAACTGATAAAGGAAAGGAGGTGCTGTTGAAGTTGTATAACAAGATATGGGAGGTAGGAGTTATTCCAAAAGAATGGAAAAAAGCAGTTATCATTCCCATTAAAAAGCCTGGGAAAGATCCCAAACAGCCAACCAGTTATAGACCAATAGCCCTAACATCGCATATTGGAAAAACGATGGAAAGAATGATTAATGACAGATTAGTGTACTGGGTTGAAACTAAAAGAAAGATAGGAAATTATCAAAGTGGATTTAGGAAAGGTAGAGGGACAATGGATCCAATATTGAGGCTTGAAGATGATATTAAAAAAGCACAGGTTAACAGGGAATCAGTAATAGCGGTGTTTTTAGACATAGAGAAAGCATATGACATGTTGTGGAGAGATGGAGTGTTAATTAAACTTAACCAAATAGGAGTTAAAGGACGCATATTGAGATGGGTTAAAGAATTTTTATCAGAAAGATCCATAACAGTTAAAATAAATGGTACATTTAGTGAATGTTACAGTGTTGAAAATGGCACACCACAAGGGAGTATTATTAGCCCTTTTTTGTTTTCTATAATGTTTGATGGGATCTTTAAGGAGATAGAAAATAATACAGGAGTTGCATTATTTGCTGATGATGGTGCGATTTGGAAAAGAGGGAGAAACATAACATTTATAATGAAGAAAATGCAACAGATATTAAATACAGTGCAGGAATGGACAGTTAAGTGGGGATTTAGAATATCTCAAGAAAAAACTAAAGCCATGTTATTTACCAAAAAGAAAATAAGAGAGGATTTAAAATTGAAATTGGGAGGTAAAGATTTGGAGAATGTTGAATCTTTTAAATATCTGGGAGTGTGGTTTGATAGGAGACTTACATGGAACACACATATTAGTAAAATGGTGGATAAATGTAAAAGAGTGTTAAATGTAATGAGGTGCCTATGTGGTGTAGACTGGGGTGCTAGTAGAGTGGCATTAAAAACAATTTATACAGGGTTGATAAGATCAGTGATCGATTATGGATGTATGGTGTATGGATCAGCTGCTAATACAACATTAAAACAGCTAGATGTAATCCAAAACCAAGCATTAAGAGTATGCTGTGGAGCCATGAAAACCACACCGGTAGCAGCATTACAGGTTGAAATGGGAGAGATGCCTCTACACCTTAGGAGAGATCAGCTGGAGGTAGTATACTGGGCGAACTTGAAAGGCCATAATGAAAATCACATAGCACAGACAGTTCTGATGCAATGCCAAGAACGAGAGAAACGGGGCATTAAAGGGTATGGATGGACAATACAACAAAAAATAAATGATATGGAAATAGATACAATAAAAATTTCGCCCACTATAGTATTTCCAGTAGTTCCCACATGGCTGCTTGATGACTTGGAAGTTGATTTTGAAATAATGAAAGAAAAACAAGAAAATGAGATTGATAGCAAACAAGTGGAAAATTATATAAGAGAAAAATACAGTGAAACAACTGAAATATACACAGATGCATCAAGAATTGGACAAAGGGTAGGAGTGTCATTCAGTATTCCAAAGTTAAAAATTGAAGTTACAAAAAGAATTAATAATAATTTAGCAGTTTATACAGCAGAATTGGTAGCGATATGGTTGGCTCTAAAGTGGGTAGAGGACAATAAACCAATTAAAGCAGTCATTGCGTCTGATTCAAGTTCAGCACTCATAAGTATTAAAAATGTAGTATCAGAATCACGGCAGGACATAATATATGAAATAGTACAGTTGGGAAATAATATCATTAAATCAGGAGTTATCATTTCATTATTGTGGGTACCAGCGCACATAGGGGTTAGTGGAAATGAGATGGCAGACAAGTTGGCTAAACAAGCAGCACAGCAAACTATGATAGACATGGACATCAAATACAGCAAGTCAGAAATCAAAAGTATAGTTAAAACCAAAATATTAGGAAAATGGCAACATATATGGAATAATGGGAGTACAGGACGTCAATATTACACCATACAGAACATAGTTGGGAAAGGTAGGGAAACAAGGAAAAACAAAAAGGAAGAAGACAAGTTCTCAAGAATGAGATTTAATCACACATCACTCAATAGCACACTACATATGATCAACAAACATGCAGATGGGATGTGTGAATGTAACAACCAGGAAACTGTAGAACATGTATTAATGCACTGCCCAATATATCAGACAGAAAGAAATATATTATTCACACAGTTACAGGAAAAACAAGTGGAACCTAACATAAAGAACATACTAAAGTTGAGCACGGGTGATGTATGTTTTAGATATGTTTATAACTATTTGAAAGACACAGGGTTGATTAATAGAATTTAGTATTTAGATGAAAAGTTATCTATATCATATAGAGGTATTATAGAGAAAGAAATATCAAAGTTTGGGACATTTAGTAATTTATTTATATGTATAGGAAAAAGAAATAAAAATTTGATTTTAAATTTTTTTTGGGGTTTTTTTTTTTTTTTTTGTGATTTTTATGGTTGGGCTTTGTTTAACTATAAAACATGGTTTAGTTAACTCCGGATCCACACTCCAATCCAGATGGTGGCGGTAATGCACCAAAAGCTGGTTGCCAACCGCCATAAAACACACAAGAAGAAGAAGAAGAAGATATTTCGCTTCCTGCGTAAATACAGCGCACAGTTGAACAGCGGGAATACTCCAGTTGGCCTTGAGGACGCTTCAAGATCCCAAAATTATGAGCAAATAATATTCATATTTATATAAAAAATAATAGTTCATCATGAGCGCGTCAAACTCCTTCCATAAAGGTAAAGCTTGTATTGATTAACGTTACGTTGAGTAACGTTAGATGTGTATAGTTGGGGTGTGTGTGCTGTTATTCTCATGCTGGATGTGTTGTATTTCTGTAGTCAGACTCTAGCAGCAGTTTAACATCAAATAAACAAATTAAGTAAATCAGAATATTTGAAGAATTGGCCAATACATGTAAACAGACTGCATTGTGTGGATTATTAGTCCTAGATGTCTCACAGTTTCTCAGTTGAGCTTTTATTGTTGAGAGCTTATTAGACCATCTCGGATCGTATCAGTTGTCATAAATTAAATATAGTTTCAGTAACTGACTTGGATTTCGTTATCATTATTAATGTAAGGCAGTTTCAGTGTTTAAAGTTTCAAATACATCATTATATGTGATACGATATCATAAGTGCTATTTCATAAAATGAATATAAGCTTTTTATTTAGTACCTAAAATGTAATCCTGTGTTTCAGTTTAAACAATGTCATTTTATCCATAGTTTAATATGCTCTATCTATAGCAATATGTGAAGTAGATACAGTTGAAGTCTTATTAGCCCCCCTTTATTTTTCCCCCAATTTCTGTTTAACAAAGAGAAGATTTCTTTAACACATTTCTAAACGTAATAGTTTTAATAACTCATTTCATTCATGATGGCAGTAAGTAATATTTGACTAGATATTTTTAAGACACTTCTATATAGCTTAAGGTGACATTTAAAGGCCTAACTTGGCTAATTAGGTTAACTAGGCAGGTTCTGTAGGCTGTCGAGAAAATATAGCTTAAAGGGGCTAATAATTTTTACCTTAAAATGATATTTAAAAAATGTAAAACTGCTTTTATTCTAGTCGGAAAAAAACAAATAAGACTTTCCCCAGAAGAAAAAATATTATCAGACATACTGTGAAAATTTCCTTACTTTGTTAAACATAATTTGAGAATTTTTAAAAAAAGAAGAAAAAAAAGAGGGACTAATAATTCTGACTTCAACTGTATGTATATAACTAGAATTTGCTTGTTTCACATTATTTTAAATATTTGGCTAAGAAATAACTAAAATTTTAATGGGACAAGTAAAAAAAAAAATCCATAGGCCAAAACTTAAAAAAAAAAGTCTGAAATTGTATTCATGGTCTGAAAAATGTCTTAAAAACTCTTAATATTGACTTGATGAATCCTGCAGAAACCCTGCATTAATATTTACCATTATTATTATTACAGATGTAGATGAATGTGTGTTTGGTAAAATCTCTTCTGTTCTCCAGCTGAGATCATCGCTGCGGTTTCTGTGACGTTCGGAGCTGCAGCAGTGGGACTCCTCGTCTACAAAACATTTTTCCACAATTCCAAATGTGTAAAGCCAAAAGTCAACCTTGATCTGCAGAAAGACAACCCCAAAGTGGTGCATGCGTTTGACATCGAGGACCTGGGTGACAAAGCGGTGTACTGTAGGTGCTGGAGATCCAAAAAGGTGAGCAAGAACTTAATGAAACCCTTCCACCTGACAATATCAATCACAATGGAGCTTTATTCACATTTCCGGGTTTCTCAGTAGCGGAAGTTGTCATAGTTGGGCAAACTTAGAGTGCAGTGAATGGGAGAACACAACAACTAATATTTTTACATTCCTACTTGCTGAAATAATACAAGAAAAAAGTGTTGGTGTTGTTAAGACTTTCAGATAAAGGAAAAAAATCGTGTGAGACTGAAAACGGCAGCCGGAAGAGAGAACAATGTCAAATTTTCTGTTTTGTCCATAGATGCTGCATTACAAACACCTCGCATGAGCATTAATTAGTTTTTTTGTAATTTAATGCACAGACAATATAAGACATACATATAAATATATGCACTTTTTATCGAAATATTAAAAACTTTAAGGATCTAAGATGATGATGACTAGGGATGCAACCATGATTTCACTATTAAATTCTTTTAATTTGTCACGGTTAATAAACGTAAAGGCTTCTCAACGCAGCGTTTCTATTGCACAGAACGAAACTGCTGCAACTAAACTAAGTAAATAAATAAGTTGTCAACTGTGTGCTAGTTCTGGGTTTATACACTGAGGCTATTACCCATGCACACTGGATTAACTAGATGCCTAGCAGGAGTGGGCCGTTCACATATTGCGTCTTTTCCGCGCACAAGTTGGTTATTTCTAATGGAGGAAATATATAGGGAGCGCTGCGCTTGTGCCTTCCATGCGCTCCCAGTTGAAAACATCTCAGGCTGTAGCAGTGAGAGTTGTGGGTTCCTTTCTGTGCAATGTAAGCAAAAGATATGTTAGACCAGGGGTGCCCAAATTCGATCCGGGAGGGCCGGTGTCCTGCAGATTTTAACTTCAACCCCAATTAAACACACCTGAATCAGCTAATCAAGCTCTATCTAGATATACTAGAAACTTCCAGGTAGGTGTGTTAAGGCAAGTTGGAGCTAAACTATGCAGGACACCGGCCCTCCAGGACTGAGTTTGGACACCCCTGTGTTAGACGAATTATTACATTTCTAAAAAATTATTATGTATATATGAACAAAGATGATAACAACAGTTCATTTAAATACTTAGCTAATATATAGATTAGATTTACATTAGTCAAATACGATTTATGTATTTATTTATTTATTTATTCGGACCATGGAGGTTAAATAAGTTGCATGTTAATCTGGAACTGAGCAAGCATAAGAAGGCTGATACTTTTCCACATACATATCAACAAGAAGTTACTGAGATAAAAAATGTATCCTACTCGTATACTAATATACACGAATGGATCAAAGAAGGACAGTCATGTTTCTGCAGCAGTCGTAATGGGTCAATCACACTACGGCATTTCGCATTCCAGATCTAAGCTCAATTTTGAATATTTACTATAGTACTATTTACTATTTACCCATTATTAATGACATTTTTATTAAAGTAAACGAACTACAGAGAAAGTTTTATGATATAGTTTTCTGCTGGATCCCAGGGCATACTGGATTATTTGGAAATGAGCAAGCCAACAAAGCCGCCATAACAGCCCTTACAGGAAAGCTAAAGGAGTGCAAAATCCTACCTTCAGATCTAAAGCCACTAATAAAGGACTATATTCTAAATAAATGGCAAACAGAAGGAGATCAATGCTCAGAAAACAAACTTTTTGAAATTCAGCCAGAACAAGGAAGAAAATCTAATTTATTTTTCAACTCAAGACACGATGAGATTGTTTATAGATGATGCTGCATTGGACACACAAGACTCGCATATGAACATTTGCTTAAAGGAAAAGAACAACCAAAATGTCAATATCGCAAAAGAAACCAAACATATTATATATGTTAAACATACTATTGTGGAATGCCCTATTTTTAATATTATCAGACAACAATTATTTTCTGGAGAGACTTTAAATGAAATATTTTTAAATGTGAATCCTTCTAATTTTTAATTTTTTTAAATTAAATGTAAACCTTAAAAAACTGTTGTAGATTTGTATCTTGTATATTATTATTATTATTATTATTATTATTAATGTATGTATTTTACCTTGTGTATTATTTATTGCTGTTGGCGACTTTTTTAATTGTTAGAATATTTTTATAACTATATAAAAAATGTATTTATAAAATGTGGTCATTTTTTTTTTTGCCATGACATAGCCAAAGAAGCTGAAATGGCAATAAACTCAAAATCCTCTCTCTCTTTATTCATTTATTTATTGTTCTGTCATTTATTTTAGTGTAAAATTATTACTTATGTTTAAAATCAGATTTTTTTTTTTACTTCTTTTTATGTCCAAAGAGCGAAATGGACTATTGTTTGTTTTTATTATTGTTTTTTTGTGTTATTTATTGCTGCTCAGTAACCAAATAATACAACACTTTAAAACATGAGTTTTCGTGTGATTTTCTGAACTAGTAGTGTTTTGAAACGAATAAAGGCATAATAATCGTGATAACCATCAAACCGTGTTTTTTTCTCAGACTGTAATCGTACAACCAAAATCTATAATTGTTGCATGCCTAACGATGACTGACTGTTAAATGCATCGTAACATTCTTGTGGAAAGGGTCAATACTGAAAAAGAGAGTTTGTGTATCGCTGCCTGCTGTCCAAATTAAAATTGATTGAATGTTCTACAATTGCCGGTTCCTGAAACTAACCTTCATGAAATCAAATAAGTGTCTACATTTGCACCTGGGTGTGATTGAATCCAGGCGTTTACCTTTAACCTGTCTGTTAGCATTCCCTTTAGCTCCTGCAAAACTTGCAAGTCATGTTTTACAAGGGTAAATCAAACTGCCATGAACTCATGAACGGAAAGCAGATTTTTTCAACACATTTTTCAACATAATAGTTTTGATAACTCATTTCTAATAAGTGATTTATTTTATATTTGCCATGATGACAGTACATAATATTTGACTAGATTTTTCAAGATACTAGTATTCAGCTTTAAGTGACATTTAAAGGCTTAACTAGGTTCATTAGGCAAGTTAGGGTATTTAGGCAAATTATTGTACAACAATGGTTACTTAAAGGAGCTAATAATATTGACATTTAAATGGTTTAAAAAAAAAGAAATTATTTTATTCTAGATGAAATAAAACCAACTTTCTTCAGAAGAAAAAATATAATTGGAAATACTGTAAACATTTCCACTGCGGAATGAACCACCAACTATTCCGGCCCATCCTTTAGACAGCAGATGCCCTTGCTTCTTGCTGTGAGGCGACAGTGCTAACCACTTAGCCACCATGTTGCCCTTAATATGATTCATCCTTCCATCCATTCTTTCTTTCATAAAGTCTCAGTTCCCCAAACTCGCATGCTCAGATTTTGATAAAGAGTTGTGAGACTCATGAGGTTTATAGTCTCGGTGATATTGCTGAGTCACCTGCAATCATATTTTTCTAATCAAATGTCTCTTTCTTCCAGTTTCCATTCTGCGATGGAGCTCATGCTAAACACAATCAAGAAACGGGAGACAATGTCGGTCCTCTGATCATCAAACGCAAAGAGGCCTGAGCATTTCCACTGTTCTCAGTGATAGAGATTCATGTATTTTCGCTTTGTGTGTGTGTGTGTGTGTGTGTGTGTGTGTGTGTGTGTGTGTGTGTGTTCTGGGGTGGTGGGATTAAAAGTGGTATTATATTACCTTGTGTGTGTGTGTGTTTGATACTATATGGTTGAGAGTTTCCTGTGATCTGCTCTCAGACCTATAATACACTGCAAATAAATGCTTTTCTTAGAGTTTTTGTCTTGTTTGTCGTCAAAATATGTAAAAAAAAAATCTTAAACCATGAGGCTTTGTCTAAACAAGTACAAAATAAGTGCATATTTTCTCAAATTAAGCTTAATTATCTGCCAAAGGGATCATAAAAAAACAGACTTCAAACCGATAGCAAGATTAATTTGCTTAAACCAGTGTTTCTCAACCACACTTCTGGAGGACCACCAGCACTGGACGTTTTCCTTGTCTCCTTAACCAAACACACCTGATTCAGATCAACCGCTCATTAGCAGAACCTAACAGACTTGAAATGGGTGTTACAGACAAAGGAGACATCCAAAACATGCAGTGTTGGTGGTCCTCCAGGAGCATGGTTGAGAGACACTGGCGGCTTACACCATTGGCAGATTATTTAGCTTGTTTTGAGGCAAAACTTACTTAATTATGACATATTATTTCTGAAAATAAAACATTATTATTTACTTGTCTGGATGCAAAAATTCTTAGATGTTTGGACTAGAAACAAGACAAAAACTCATATATAAGTAAAGCATTATTTGCAGTGTGTATATTCTAATACAGGAGTTCCCCAACTCAATCCTGGAGGGCCGGTTTCCTGCATATTTGAGTTCCAACCCCAATTAAACACACATGAACCAGCTAATCGAGCTCTTTCTAGAAATACTAGAAACATCCAGGCAGGTGTGTTAAAGGAAGTTGGAGCTAAACTATGCAGGACATTAGCCCTCAAGGACAGTGTTTGTACACCCCTGTTCTAATATATCTGGGTGGTGGTTTAGCAATACATATTTATTTTCTCTTCTTATCTGCTTAAAGGCTTTATAAGATGACTGATGTATTCTGGTTCAGCTAAACACTTCTAAATGTGTTCCTGTGCTTAAACACTGGTCATGTTACTGTAGTAGACATGATACATATTAAACTTGAACAAAGAAAAAACACCTTGGTATGAGTTGAAACCTAGTCTTGTTTGTTGTGACAGAATGTAAATGTTGAATGGAAACCAAACGTCCAGCTTCTTGTGTCCTTTCGAGTGTGTTGCCTAATAAATTCACATGTGACCTTAACTAATCACTGACATTTAGTGTATTGGAAATGAAATCGAATCTCTCTGAATGTGTTGAGTTGTGCTCTGGATCTGCTGGGTCCTGTTTTATGTCAATTTAAAATATAATTTGGCAGACTTTGGCTCTCATGCGTAAAGATGTACTTGGTCTGTTTCTATAGCAGAACAACAACAAAAGTATGTTACATTGAGCATTGTGATGACCTGTTTTTTTCGCTGTCTCTTAGAAAAATTCTATGTACAATTTTGATGTTAAATAAACAATGTGAAACCGATGTTGGGAGACATTCATTTATCTTCCTTCTGCTTAATCTGTTTATTCACCAGGGGTCGCCACAGCGGAATGAACCGCCAACTCATTCTTTCATTTTCTTTTTGGCTTAATCCCTGTATTAATCTGTGGTCACCACAGCGGAATGAACTGCCAACTTATCCAGCATATATTTTACACAGTGAATGTCCTTCCAGCTGCAACCCATTACTGGGAAACACTCATTCACACACATACTACTGCCATTTTAGTTTTATCAATTCACCTATAGTGCATGTGTTTGGACTGTAGGGGAAACCAGAGCACCCAGAGGAAACCCACATGAACACAGGGAGAACATGCAAACTCCACACAGAAATGCTAACTGACCCAGCCGGGACTCAAACCAGTGACCTTCTTGCTGGGAATGAAAACGCATTTTTTAAATGAAGGATTTCATATAATTGATAATCATTAAGATGGGCGAGGCAGTGGCGCAGTAGGTATTGCTGTCGCCTCACAGCAAGATCGCTGGTTCGAGCCTCGACTCAGTTGGCGTTTCTGTGTGGAGTTTGCATGTTCTCCCTGCATTCGCGTAGGTTTCCTCCGGGTGCTCCGGTTTCCTCAATTCACCTACAGATCTAAAGTTTAAAAGATGCTTGCTCGGCTGTGTAACTGTCAGCCTATGATTTGAATCCAACGTGGAAGAAAGTAGTTCCTCACACAAAAGGGTTTTTGAGAATCTCCATGTTTGATTTTGTTTTTATATACACAATTATGCCGTCAAACTGTTGTATAAACGCAATATGACACTCGTAGCAGTGCGATATGGCTGTATATCGGCACTGGTGGGGGCACTAAGACGCATGCCTTCCACCATTGCCGATATACAGCCATATCGCACTGCTACCCGTGTGATATATATATATATATATATATATATATATATATATATATATATATATATATATATTTCAAGCTATTAATGCAATGTAATGAATATCACCCCTAATTTTTTTCATTTTCAAACAGATATCAAGAATTAGCCTAAGTCTCTCTCTACCTCTTCTAACATAAAAGCAACTAAAACATTGAATATGTGTTGTTTTTGTTGTGTTTTATATAATTCGTACTGATGCTATTTATGCTGTGAATTCCTTGGCTTTTTTATCTTTATTATCTTATACTTGGTTTAGTATATTTAGCAATTTTTGTATTATTTAATATATTTATTCATTCATTTTTTCTCTCTCTCTGTTGCTTGTACTCACTACTGAAATGTTGTTGGGCAATATTCCCAACTCCTGTTTCTCTGTTCATCACATTTATTCTTCACACCTGTATTGTTGGGCAAATGTTAGCAAAAAAAAAAAAAAAAAGACGCGACGCTCAAGAACTCAACCTGTGCTGACGCCAACTTTGATTGGTGGACCTTTCTGTGACGTCACGATTCATTCAGTAACCCGACGCGTTGCGCTCCATCAGTGGAGATAGAAAAAAGAAAAAAAAACCCAAGCCGCATATGCGAGGGAATGAACGCAAACTTTGAGGGCTTTGGACGCGCGTACGACCGGTAACATTTAACCAATCAATGAGCGATTAATGTTCCTGTGGAATGACAGTCAGATAGTATGGAAAACCATTAACAGAAGTTTTGCGAGCTTCGAGTAAACTCTGATAATTGTGAGGCTGGACATGTCTGCAGATGGTCAGATCGTCTCCAAGTTTACTCTGGTACAGCTGGAGAATGGAAATCATAACCACGAGTCAGTTAAACAGAGGCTGCTGGATGGATGTGTGCCTTTCTCTCATCAGGTGGCCGGACATAAATGCGGGATCAATAACACTGGTCAGTTTATATCGTGTGTCAAATACGAATTACGCATGTTTGTCGTTAATTTTTAATATCAGATTTAAGAAATACATGTATACAAGATTACATGTGAATTCCCATTGGAATAGTTGTTTGGTTGTGTTACTTTCGATGTAAATTAGTCAAATAATGAGTTAAATAACTGAATAAAATATGTTCCAATTTCAGTAAGTTTAACATATGTTTTTTGCAAAATTAAAAGAACGTTCTTACCAGAGGCCTAGTTATTAAAATATATTATATTTAAAAAAACAATGATAAATTGTAGGCCAGTTGTATTTTAAAAGACTAAAATGAAAAGAATAAATGTAGTGCAAATGTAAATGTTAAACGTATAACTGCTGTAGCACTGTGTTCATTTTTAACATTTGTTGCACAAATTGACATTTTATTGTGTGTTTTCTGTAAATTATGGCAAAATATTTAGGCTATTTATGTTGGAGCAATTTTTTTTATTTTGGTTGTATTGTTAAAAAAATGAAAATCTGAGAATATTTTTATATGATACTTCAAAAAATAAAGATGATTTAGTATTAAAATGATTTTATTTTGAATATCTTTTTTTTTTTTTTTAAATAAATTGGTCTTACACTTCATTATTTATTCCAGTACTTTTACCATAAACTGACATATCAACCATTTGGTACAGGTTGATATTTTAGAATATATGGGATGTGTTGAAAAAAATGCATTGTGTGTTAACTAGAGACATTAGGAGTTAAGAAATGCAATCCAAACATTTTTCTTGGTGGGGTAGTTAAAGGGGTAATAGACAAACAGATTAAGATATTAGAAACTGCAATAAAGGAAAGTTAGTAAAAGCCCAATCAGGGAACCTTAAACAGCTAGAGTCAAAAAGAGAAAGAAAAAAATTACATATACATATTAAAATAATATTGAAAATAAAAATAAAGCAAGGGAGGGGTGGAACCAGAAGTTTTTTTTTTTTTTTTTATTGGAACCATTTTTTATAATTAATCATAATCTGGAACGACTCTTCCAGATCCCTCATAATAAAATTTCATCCCACTAGATAAATGAGGGTCAGGAGTTTTTTTTTTTTTTGAAGAACTAAAACTTAAAAATTTTATTTTAATTACTTTCCCAATCCTATATGACATTTATCCCATAGATAATCATATTCCTTTTGGCACAGAATCTCCATTAAAATTATCCGAATTATGACAGAAATTCTGGCAAAGCAGTGGCACAAGAGGTAGTGCTGTCGCCTCACAGCAAATAGATCGCTGGTTTTAGCCTCGGCTGGGTCAGTTGGCATTTCTGTGTGGAGTTTGCATGTTCTCCCTGGGCTCGCGTAGCTTTCCTCCGGGTGCTCCGGATTCCACCACAGTCCAACGACATGTGGTACAGATGAATTGGGTTGGCTAAATTGTCCATAGTGTATGAGTGTAAATGAGTGTGTGTGAATGTTTCCCAGACAGGGGGTTGCAGCTGGAAGGGCATCCGCTGCGGTAAAACATGCTGGATAAGTTGGCGGTTCATTCCGCTGTGGTGACCCCAGATTAATAAAGGGACTAACCCGAAAAAGAAAATGAATGAATGAATGACAGAAATTCCAAAAGGAGTCTTCTTTACACTGAGTAATGGATTGAGTAATGTAATATGTCAAAAGTATTAGACAAGACAGCTATAGTTTAATGAAAGGTCATAGAATTTGTTGTCACTCTGTTTAACGTGGAATATTGTCATGGTGATTCCTATGAAAATAAGCATTACGCCGCCTCAGTGCCAGCAGTGAGATGACATCATTTGCTGTAGTAACTCTCATGTGCATCATTAGTGGCTCTGTCATGGGGGATTTTCTGAATAACGAGAAGTGAGCTGTTATCTGATGGACCGCCAGATTGTCAGTGGTCAGCACTTTGTCTAGCTGTTCTTGTGTTAAGGAAATGACAGTTCTGTAGCACCAAGTCATTTAAAGCTCACCCTAATTTCAAAATAAAGCGTTTTGAATGACGTTTCCAGCACAAGCAGGATTACTGTGGTAACTGTGATGGTTGTTATGCATTTTCTGTTTATCAGAGAATTTTGAAATCATATAATCCACAAAAATGTTACTAGCTGTTTACAACAATGTTAATAATAGTAATATAGCACAATAACAGCATTACTACTGATCATCATTTTAAACGGTAAAAAACTATAACATTTTAGGTTTCATTTATTTTCTTGTCGGCTTAGTCCCTTTATTAATCTAGGGTCGCCACAGCGGAATGAACCGCCAACTTATCCAGCATATGTTTTTTACGCAGCGGATGCCCTTCCAGCTGCAACTCATCTCTGGGAAACATCCATGCTCATTCACACTCATACACTACGGAAAATTTAGCCTACTCAATTTACCTGTACCGCATGTCTTTGGACTTTGGGGGAAACCAGAGCAGGCAAATGCAAAGAAACATGCAAACTCCACACAGAGACGCCAGCTGACCCAGACGAGGCTCGAACCAGCGAACTTCTTGCTGTGAGCGACAGCACTACCTACTGCGCTACTGCGTCGCCTAAAATCAGCTTCTGCACTGTTAATGTTTCCTGTACAATTTACAGTAACTTACTGGCATCAGTTTGCCAGTATCTTACTGTAAATAAATGAAAGCGAAAATGCTGTATTTACATTTACAGCACCATTTATATTTACAGTATTGTATGGCTTTACTGTAAAATATACAGTCATTTTCACAGTGCAGAACTTTAAAATACAGTAACACCACATAACCGTCCTACAGTAAAATACAGTACACATTACAGTAAAATACTGCGTAAATTACAAAGATCGATAACAGTGTGTAATTGTCTAAATGTCAAAATAATACCGTTAAACTATGGTATAAAGTATGAACAAAATAAATGTCTATTTTACAATACTTTACCGTATTTCATAAATTTTAGAGTCATACATCAATCTTTGAAGTACTAACATAATTACAACATAGCTTTGTCACAGACAAAAATGCAACCGTAAGCATGTGGTGATGAGAAAGTCATACAGAATGAGGAAAAAAGCTCATCATAATCAACTTTTCCCGCAAGCTGAAAAGCATATTTATATATAGAAGGTGCTCGGTGTCATTCACACAACTACTAAACGTAAAGCAATGCAATGAACATTATTCATTAACAGATGCAACATA